TATTGGGCGGACTCTTCGTGTACGACGTGTTTTGGGTGTTTGGAACCGATGTGATGGTAACTGTGGCCAAATCATTCGAAGCCCCCATCAAACTGGTCTTCCCTCAAGACTTCCTCGAGAGTGGAGTGAATGGCACCCACTTTGCAATGTTAGGGTTGGGAGATATCGTCATTCCCGGCATTTTCATCGCTCTCTTATTGCGTTTCGACGTCAGGTATAGTCACCACTCTTTTCGACATTCCTCTCAACTCAACACTCATTTCAATAATTGTTAAATAGTCTGAAAAGGAAAGGAAACGTGTATTTCTACACGAGTTTCGTGGCGTATATCTTGGGTTTAGTGCTGACAATAGTAGTGATGGCATACTTCAAACACGCACAGCCGGCGCTCCTTTATTTGGTCCCCTTTTGTATTAGTTTTCCCGTTTCGGTCGCTCTCATTAGGGGTGACATTAAAGCTCTCTTCCGGTTTGTATCCTATCGTTACTATCTGTCCATCAATTACTGATGATCTCATATCTGAACCATAGCTATGAAGACCATCCGTCAGCCGATAAAGAGGTGGACGAGAAAAAGGAGAAGACTGTCACGAAGTCTACTAAAAAGGAGACTAAAAAAGCGCAATAGTATTGATAGTATTGTTTATTTAACATTTAAATTACAAAACTTATTGTAATTATGGTTCGGATGTCTCGGAAATCTCTTAACCCTATTGTCATTATATTATATTTGAATTGCATTTTAATTTAAATCCAATTTTATTCAAATAAATCGATATTTAATTACAATTTCTATACATTTACTAAATTTGAAGCAAAACACTAATCGCTAAGAGATTAAGACCTAAATTGAAAGCAATATTGAGTGGTTTGAGGGTTCAGTCGACGTCATCGGGAGGTATGCCTAAGTGCTCGTTAGACCACTCACTCCTTTGCGGCCAAACATATTCGCCTAGAAATTGAATCAATCATCAGATAATGGACTCAAGCAATGGGACGAAGACATGGCGAAGACATACCCACGAGTTCTCGCCAGTTGTGTCTGAAAGACCAATAGATATAACACCACATGAGGGCCGCATTGAAGTGAGCGATGCGTTGAATGAACGGTCGGTTTGGCTCCCAATTCCACTCACGATAACCAGCGCTGAGATAATCAACAAATCATTAACAAGTGTTACACCATTGCCATCAACTGATCCCGCAGTTCAACACTTACTATCCGTGACTCTTTCGCGACACTTGTTTGCCGACAGTGTGTGGCCTTTGAGGCCACGCTTTGGCCTCTAATTGAGTGAATAGTCGGGCGAATCGTTTGCCACAAATGTTTGCCATCATTTCATTTCATAACAATGTCTAGTCATGTGATCACAGCTTTTGGGGATTTCACAAACAGTATGACAGTATTTAGGGTACAGTAGACACAACACTGTGACTACAGTGTAGTCAATACCGAGTATTAATAGTGCATTCATATGGGGCTATATTTCTGGGATTTAACGGACTGTGTGTTTGACCCCAACATTGACTGCAATGTAAAGGCTTTTTGGCCGCAAATTGAGTACTAATTAGTCGTAAAAGAGTTGTCATATAATGAATGGTTTGCTCATTGAATGACCGTTTGATCGTTTGGTACACTATTTCACTCAACAATACTCTCAATGGGTTTCACACCAACACTTGTGATGCATTTCTAATTGATTTGTACACTAATTGCTCAATAATTGGCACTTTAGAAAACTTGAATTTCAAACACATTGACATTTACAGTAATTGTAGGCATAATTGTAATACTTATACAGTTATGCAACAAATTATAATTTATAGTTTATAAAAGTGAACATTTGGTTTGCTTGAGCTGTCCATGTGGTCTAACTTTATCTAAATCTATTTAACCCACTATTTATTCCTTAAAATATGACTACATTTACGGTAACTGTTAGTCAATTATCAAATAATTGATTAAAATTTAAATTATAGTTGAAATGAGAGCTCAAATCAAACCAAATAAACAGTACTGTTATTGAGAAAGGATTTGAAAGTTTTAGAACAAAGGAAATCACATTAAAGTGCCTTAAATTGTGTATCAAATGAATGGCAAATCTAATCCGATAGACCCTATGTTAAACATAGTATGTTTCCAATTTGTCCGTAAATGTGCATGCTCTTCACGTTGATTTAGTGATAGCTATATCAATGAATACATAATCATACACTCAGTTTGTCAATCAATTAACAGTAAATACAGTTTTAAATTTACATTGAAGTTTTAAAAAATGTATGTATAGTGAAAAGGGTTGGGAAATACATGACTAAAGCTGTTCAGAATATGTATTTA